TGGTACCGTGGCGGGGTCGAACACGGGAGGGTTGTCGTTGGCATCAGTGACTTTGATGATGGCAGTGGCAGTGTTGGTCAGGCCAAAGCCTTCCTGGTCTGCAGCCTGGATGATCAGCGTGTAGTTGGGAGTAGTCTGCAGAGCAAAATCATCCCAGTTAGGGCTGGGGTGGGGACTGGGGTGTTCCCCTCCACTAGGCATCACCTGCCTGCTCCTCCACCCTTCTCCAGCCTCGCTGTTTCCTGCTGGGACACAGGCAGCTGATGTCCCAGCTGCCCGCCCAAGGGGCTGGCACTGTACCCACTCCAGGGCTCAGCAAGGCTGGGAGCTCCTGGAGGGTCCCCAGCATAGCTCCTGTAGACACCCCTGCCGCCAGCGACAGCGACCCAGGGATGCCGTGTCCCAAAACCAGATGGACCCCAGGGCTGCAGTATCCCTTTCCCCCCATGGCACATCCCGCTGTGGGGCAGCCCAGGTTCCCTTGGGCTGTGTCAAGGTGCCCACCTCCCGATCCAGTCCCGTGCCAATGACACTGATGATGCCATTCGCGGCATTGATGGTGAACATGTCCTGTGCACCCTTGGGCTCCTCGCTGAGGATGGAGTAGCCGATGATGCCATTGTTCACATTGATCGCATCATCTGCATCCGTAGCATTCACGGTCATCACAGATGTGCCTGGACATGGGGACAAGCCAGGGAGGTTACTGATGGGACAGAATCCACAGGCCACGCTGGCACTGCTCACGCTCAGGGCTCTGCGTGGGCCCAGCTCAGAGTCCCCCACGTACCCGGCTTTGCGTTCTCCTCAATGTAGCCAACAAAGACCTGCTGGGTGAAGACGGGCCGGTTGTCGTTCTGGTCAGTGACGGTGATGATGATCTCCATGGGGTCTTCCACGGGCTGCCCGTTGGCCGACACGGCGTGGGAGAAGAGCTGCAAGGCCACAGTCAGCGTGTGTGCGGTGCCCACCACTGTCCCTGTCCCACCACACATGTCCCCTCACTCACCTGGTATTTGTCCTTCTCCTCGCGGTCCAGGGGTTTTGTCACCTCCAGCCACCCCGTCTCCCGCTCGATGATGAACACACCCACGGGGATGGTGTCCGCCCCCTGCCCCGTGATGCTGTAGAAAACCTTGGTCTCCTTGTCCTTGTTGGATTTGATCTGGCAGCGAGGCAGGAGGAGGAGGGTGAGCCGTGTCCCAGTGCCCCAGGGATCCCTGTGGGCCCTGCCCGGTCCCCACGGGCACACCCACCTGCACCAGCTTCTTGGGGAAGGGCCCCCGCTCGTTCTCAGGGCAGTTGATGGGGGGGATGACCCAGTCCCTCTTCTGCCGCCGGGGGCCGTGTCCGTGCTCCGGGAAGATCAGCACGTCTGGCACTGTGCCCTGTTGGGACAGTGGCTCTGCTCAGGGCCAGCCCCTTGCTGAGCCCTCTGCCCCAGGGCAGGGGCTGCTGTGATCCCAGGGAGTGGGTCTGTGCTTCACCTGCTGCATCCGTTCGTGGTGTCGGTGCTGGTGCCGCCGGGGGCGCAGCGTCACCTTGGCTGAATGCCTCTTGCCCACGGTGTCCCAGGTGTGCACAGCAAAGGTGATGTCCCGCTGCTGCAGCTGCAGGGGCCGGGTGGCAGTGACGATGCCATCCCTGCTCACCTTGAAGCGCGTGTCATCCGGGAGGAAGGCGGCACGGCGCGACTCGCCACAGTCCACAAAGCTCACTGGGGACAGGGGACAGAGTGGCAGAGGGTTCTGGGGACATGGGCACACACAGCACAGCCCTGCCCCAGCAGCCTGGTCTGTGGGGTCACAGCAGTGGTGGGGATGCTTCACACACAGTGACACACGCCCTGCCAGGTTTCCATCCTGGGCACAACACACGGTGCATCCCTGCCCTGGCTTTGGTCCAGCATGGGACATGGCAGGACCTACCGTGCCACAGGATCCCTGCCAGACAGTGACAATGGGGCAAGTGGCACCTGGCACAGCATGTTCCAGTCCCCAGCACCATGTATGGCATGGCACCAGGCACGGCACATCCCCATATGGGTGTATCCCTGTGGCACAGCACATCCCCAAGCATGGCATGCCACCACCACTGTGCCCATGCTGCCCCAGCAGTTTTTCCAATAAAAACAAGGGCCGCAGACATCCACCTGCCCTGGCACCCAGTGCCCTGGCAGCCAGGCCCCTCAACCTGCCCAGGTACCTCCGGGACCCCCAGCCCCGGG